GATGGAAACAAAAATATAAGCATTTGACAACTACCAAACCAGGACATTTCAAATGTGAAAACACTTGGGGAAACATCTGAACTCAAGAGGCATTTGTGAGCATTCGGGGGCTGCAGGAGGGGAACTGGGCTCCTGACAGGAAGCTTGAGCCATGTCCCCACTCATCCCTCTACTCTAACTCCCCTCTCCTCTCCACCTCCTTGGCTGATTCCAACCAAACAGCCTCTAAAGGCTGGGTGTCCCAATCATATTAAATTTGTACAGATTTGGCAAAAATCAGCAGCTGAGGAGACAGAGGGAGGAATGGGATGAGTTGGGGCACAAGGAACACGAGGACACAGGAAAACAGATTTTATGCATTTGCAGAACATCTTGTAACAGAGAAAGAATAAAAAAAAAGCAATTGCCATGCAATGCTGCTACATCTTTCTCCAGGACACTCCTTGTACCCTCTCCTGAAGCATCTTCCACTGGGTGCTGGGGCAGAGAGGGCCAGGGCAGGGCTGCAGCCACGAGCTGGACTCCTCCTGTGGTTGAGGCACCTCTTTGATCCTCAGTCCAGGGCTGGCCTCCTCCTGCTCCCATCCTGGTGCTCTGCACTCGCTGACATTCTGCTCCTGTTTCTGTTTATTTGTCCTCAATTGTGTCATTGTCTCGACCAGGAACTTGGAAAGCTCCTTGGAACACTGGCCCGTGCTGCCTTGCCATCTGGCTGCTGGCTGACGACTACAGTAGCAAACAAAACCCAAACATTATAAAATAGGCCTGTTAAAGTTGGTTTTTATGAAGAGGATAATAGGATGGGAAATGGGAGAGAGCCTGTCTTGTGCCAAGCTGAAGAGGAACCATCACCAGAGCTCTCCAGACGAGGAGCTCTCACCAGGGCTGCAAACACTCCTGGGTTTGAGGCTCCAAAATCTGAGTGAACAGGCATGGGGACACTGAGGCACAGGGGCAGCCCTTGGGTCTGGGGCAGACCTAAATGTCCTGGTGCCCAGGAAGTGTTGGCATCCTGCAGGGGGAACCAGCCAAGGAAAGGCAGCTCTGAGGGCAAGAAATCTTCTTGCACGTCACTTGATGTTGACTCTGCTGAGGACAGTGGCAGTGCTGCTCCTCCTGGAGGGATCACATCCTGCTCCTGGAGGGATCACATCCTGCTCCTCCTGGAGGGATCACATCCTGCTCCTCCTGGAGGGATCACATCCTGCTCCTCCTGGAGGGATCACATCCTGCTCCTCCTGGAGGGATCACACCCTGCTGCTCCCGGAGGGGGTCACATCCTGCTCCTCCTGGAGGGATCACACCCTGCTGCTCCTGGAGGGATCACAACCTG